AGGAATGCAACGAGGAAGGTTAAGGCCCACTTGGAATGAAATCTGGCAAGGGATGTCAAGGACAAGAAGGGCTTTTTCAAGTACACCAGCAGCAAAAGGAAGAGCAGGGAAAAAGGTGGGCCTGCTGCTGAATGAGGTAAGTGCCCTGGTGACAGAGGATACAGAGAAGGTGGAGCTCCTGAATGCCTTCTTTGCTTTAGTCTTCACTGCTAAGGCCAGCCCTCGGGAATCGCAGACCCTGGAGGTAAGAGAGAAAGCCTGGAGAAAGGAAGACTTTCCCTTGGTTGAGGAGGATTGAGTTAGAGAACATCTAGGCAAACTCAACACACACAAATCCATGGGCCCTAATGGGATGCACCCACAAGTGCTCAAGGAGCTGGCAGATGTTACTGCTAGGCCACTCTCCATCTTTGAAAGGTCATAGAGATCAGGGGAATTGCCTGAGGACTGGAGGAAAGCCAGTGTCACTCCAGTCTTCAAAAAGGGCAGGAAGGAGGACCCAGGAAACTACACAGGCCAGTCAGCCTCACCTCCATCCCTGGAAAGGTGATGGAACAGCTCATTCTGGGGGTCATCTCTAAGCATGTGGAGGAAAAGAAGGTTATCAGGAGTGGTCAACATGGATTCACCAAGGGGAAATCATGCCTGACCAATCTGATAGCCTTCTATGATGGCATGATCAAAGATCAGATCCAGCACTGCGTATCTTCCTGTCACAAAATCTCATGCAACAGTATTGAAGAACATGGATTAATGGAGAAATGGAAAAAAATACAGCAGAAAATCAGAGACTGATCTCACAAAAGAAGAAATACCATGGCTTTAGCATTTCATTGTCAAGCTTAACAGCTCATGCTGGTGTTGACAAGGACTTTTATGTGTTTGGTTTTTTTCAGGGCCAGTTCAGACAACTACTGCAGAGATTTCTTAGCTCTGACTAACCCTTACTCTTTAGCTCTTCAGAGGTTCTTGCTTTTCTATCTGAAAAAAATACAAAGAAGAAAAGCTACTTTTTGTAATTTTAAGGACTCCTCAGAAGTCTATTCTTTCCTGACTTACCTCATTTATTACTGAGATGCTGACTCATCTTGAGCTGGCCCATAGCAACAACGAAATATCTTCACATTCTTTCCCATGGTGCTTCTGAGGGTGGAGTTGTGTAAAATGACTGAGCTGACCTTACAGCTTTCTTCTGCCAAAAGACGTACAACCTCTCCCCTTATTTTCCTCCCCTCTACCCTGTCCCACTATATAATAGAACCTATCCTTTACACTACTCCAGCACCCATTGACTTCACATTAAACTAATTCTGCTAACTAACTCAGCAGAATACTTCCATTCTTTTGGCTATGTTAGTTGGACTCGGTAACCCAGCAGAAAACTGAGTACTAAAGTCTTCTAAAAATCCACACTGAAGTGGCTGTGCCACCGAGCCATACACAGAATGGTGGAAGCAGGATACACCCTTTCCAGATGAGACTCATGAGAAAGAAGTCACACTATCTTTTCTTTTTCACTTGCACTTTTACACTTGTCTTGATTAACGTACAAAAAGCCACTTTGTCTCAA